CATGCATGCATGAATTAAGCTATAATTCAACATGTTAGAACTAAATTATGACTTAGCTCCTCAATTAGACATGAACCATGCATGAATCAACTTAAAGACACAATCAAGAGGATGAAATTCATACCTAGGTTCCTTAATTACTAATCTTGAGGTTCAATCTAGCAAGAACTCCTTTTAATTCCTCCAATTTCCAAGCAATTCTAGATGAAATCACCTAATCTCCCTATTCTCACTCTCTAGTCGGCAATAACAATGAATAAGGCTGAGGAAAATGGTTTGCTCAATGTATTACAAGTCTCAATATGTGTAAAGTAATGGGCCACTATTATGGAAATGTGGTAAATAATGCAACTCTTGTAATTTAGTACTATTTAATCTAATTTAATCATACCAATTCAGTTTTCAGATAAATACACTATAAAATCACATTAATTCTAAGGATCATAGAACATCAATCAATTTCGGATTCGGCCGCCGATAAGGCCTTTAATTTGCAATTTAACCATAAAAACATGAACAGATCAATTAACAATCAACAGATAGAAAATGCATTTAAACAGATACAGTCAATCAATCAGTTTCAGATTTCAGTCAATCAGTTCAGTATTTCAATTACTTCAGTTATCACTCATAATCAGTCTCAGTTTAGCAGTAATCGGTAGTTTATCGGTAAACAGTGACGAAGGTTGTTACAGTTATCATTTCAATTTGAGATAATATTTAGGCTTAATAGACTTATTTTGAAATCAATTTTGGTGATTTGAATCATTTATTTTTTAGATTTATTAAGTAAAATATTTATGCATAAAATTAAGATGATTAACTATTGGTAGCTGTATATTTGAATTATGGGAGCTTTTTTAGTAAATTCATTCTCTAAGAGTCCTATTCCATTAGACCCATAATGTTTTGTAATATTCCATTAGGTCCTATTTCATACTAAAAGACCGAAAGACCCTCAAACAAACACGCGCCTATCTTTGAATCAAATAGTCATCTCTCTCTTCCCCTCTCTTCTTGCAGAAAATCATGTATAGTATCTCCACTATTCCAAAAATCCAAAACCAAATTCCCTATCGTCTTAACACCCAGAAGACTCTCCTTATTACATCGTCGCATCGTCTTCTTCATCATCCCTACGTTGTCAGTCGCCGAAATCATGGAAATCACCATTGTTGAACATCTGTAAGTTCTATCTTCGTCAAAATCACCATCGATGACCATTTGTGACAACGCAACCATCGAAATGGGCAAAAAACGTAAGTAATCTAATCATTCTTGTATGCAAACCCTAAATCTCTTCTTCAACAAACAACATTGTGAGCTTTCACCAATATCCCCTGTTTCTATTCATACAATATATGGAACTTTATATTGTTATTGTTTTTGCCATAATCGTTAATTTGAACCCTCAATCCATATCCCCAATTATATGGGTTTTTTTACCCAAAAACATTACATTTGCCATTATGTTGTGTTTAAATCTGTGAACATTCAAATGGATTGAAAGATGTTGGGCCAATCAAATTATTTCAGATGTTATTGTTGTTGTTGTTGAAATATGTGAATATTCACATGAAATTGAAAATTATAGGGCAAGCAAATTGTTTTAGCTGTTGTTGTTGAAAGATATGTACATTCACATGAATTGAAAGATGTTGAGCCAATCAAATTATTTCAGATGTTATTATTGTTGTTGAAAGATGTGAACATTCACATGGAATTGAAAATTGTTGGGCAAGCAAATTGTTTCAGTTGTTGTTGTTGTTGTTATTGTTGAAAGATGTGAACATTCATATGGATTGAAAAATGTTAGGGCAATCAGATTATTTCAGATGTTATTGTTGTTGTTGTTGAAAGATGTAAACATTCACATGAAATTGAAAATTGTTGGACACAAATTATTTTAGTAGTTGTTGTTGTTGTTGTTGTTGTCGTTGAAAGATATGAACATTCATATCGATTAAAAAATGTTAGGACAATCAAATTGTTTCAGATGTTATTGTTGTTATTGTTGAAAGATATGAACATTCACATGGATTGAAAATGTTTGGCCAATCAAATTGTTGTTGTTAACCGTAGTGAACATTCACATGAAAACAAAGAATTACGGTTCAATTTCCTTGTGTAAGATGTTGTTGTGATATATAATTATGTTGTGAACATTCACAACATGTGTAAATTAATTAGACACTTTGTAAACATTTACCACTACATTTAGAGGAAATATATCACTTTTGTTATCCCATGTTTGAAATCATATTTCAATTTTGAGGTTGTACTATAAAATTGGCATAACATGGTTGTAGTAAGTTTGTGCATTGTTAGCCAAATTAGTACTGTGAATGTTCACAATATCCTTTAATCTATTTGGGTTAACATCCATATGTTCTTGAATGTTGTTCAGCAATGTATAAACACACATTGATTTTTACATACACACACACTACGCACATTGTGTTTTTGTTGACACAGTGAACATCCACATCCATGAACAGATGTGGATATTCGCATCCATGCACACAACTGTAGACATTCACACTCATGCACACAACTGTGAACATTCACATCTATGCCAATGTCGTGAATGTTTACATTTGTGCCGCTATTTTAATCACATAAGCCTTGTCTTAATTTTTTTTATGCTTTATTTTGCAAATATTGCACAGAAGAAAACCTCAAAGCGAAAAAGAGATGAGTACCATGTCAAAGAAGAAAGCTCACATGCAAATTCTAGCAACAATGTTGACATGCAGTGGGTCGACCCACCATTTGTGTCTTTCCGTTCTCCAACCATTCCACCGTTATCGAAGCGTTGTCAGCTACTGGAACCATACTCCAACGAAGAAGAAACAACGTTATGAACATTTCTATATATTAGAGTGTATTAACTCAATATGGAGACCAAATGTAAGCACATTTTTTCTCTTTTTTTGTATAATCAAATTACATTTTTTTTGTTCTAATGCAAACTTTTTCACAAGTTGCCATTATTATTTTTGGTCCTTGTTGTTCATGATTTTGCTGTTATTTTCCCTCTTTTTGTTGTTGTTGGTATTGTTGAAATTATGTAAACTCTCAAATTTGTTGCTTTCCTAGAAAACAGAAATTGTCGTTGTTTCAGATGTTGTTGTTGTTGTTGTTGTTGTTGACATGATGTTAACATTCACATGGGGACATGTCCTGAATAAATTTGTTACATGATTGTGAACATTGTGTCAATCAAATCTCCAAATAAAAATGTTTCTTCTACTTGTAGTTCGATTTTGACGTGAACCTTGACATTGTGAGCCTTAATGTTGTTCATATTTGTCCACTTATTATTCACATCACAGTTGTGTACACTGAAAATATGTGGTTTGTGGGTAATGAATGGGTGATGTTGTCATGTTGTTTGGTTGTTTATAGCCACTATGAATATTCACATTGGTGCTATTTGTTTATAAATGTGTACATATAATCATTGCTTTACTGTGAATTGTTGTAACCAAATGTTGATGTGAACTTTAACATTCTCTTCTATATACATAGACATACCTAATATTATATGGATGTGTAAATATTAACATTCGGTGTGACCACTACTATTTGTACCCTAGTAGTAATGTGAATATTCACATCTCCAATGATGTGAATGTTCACATTGCTATATTTGTCACTTAAATAGCACTTTGTTGCTTTTGCTTATATGAATAGCTTTGAATGTGAACATCCACACTGATTAATGATGTGCTGATGTCAATGTACATGTCTACCCTACCAATTCTATTGAAATCAAATTTAATGTTCATACAAACACTCACTATTTGTGCATGTCCATGTAACAGATGTTGTATCTAAATTTTGCACAAAAAGGAAGAGGGAGGAGTATCATGTCAAAGAAAAGAGCAACACCCACATCGACATGCAACATGTCAATTATCGATCAACATTACAGGCTTAGTAAAACCGATGAGAAGCACCAAGTTCTCGAATTTTCAGCTGGACTACTTGAGGCCAACTTCGTTGTTTGATAGTTGGGGTTGTCCATTATTCACTAGCTATACCAGAATACAGTGCTAGTGTCTTTTTTTTTTTTTTTTTTTTTTAACTTGCAGTTGAAAACACTTGACAATATATATATATATATATAAATCAATGATATACTTCTCACATACCTATGTGTTTTGATGGTATATTTGGTGTTGATGTGTTGCGTGTGCTAAACAATATAGACTGTAAACATTCACATATGTTTTCTTATGTTGAAGTTTGTGTGAATGTTTACATCTTAATTTATGTTCAATAAATGTGAATGTTCAAATTATGTCTTATGAGATGATCCTGGTTGACTACAGATGTTAATATTCACATTATACATTAATTAGATGTATGATCATATTAGAATAAACGTGAATCTTCACGTCTATTTATTACATTGTGAATATTTACATCAAACTGTGGTTGACTACAAATGTTAATATTCACATTATACATTAATTAGGTGTACGACCCATGTATAAACATATCATAATTAATGTGAATCTTCACATTTATTTATTGCATTGTGAATATTCACATCATGTTTGTGTCTAAAACAAAATGGTCCTTGAATATTCATATCATCAATATTGCATAATGGTAATGAACATAACAAAAACATATACACCATTCAATATTATATAAAAGTGTAAATATTAACATTAATTGACAATACATATGACAAAATTCTAGTACAAAAAACCAGAAATCCATAAACAAAAAAACCCATAAAATCTCAAACTCTCCAAAAACAAAAAAACCATCACCCACATTCTTATCTTCATCATTATCACTACCCATGCAATTCCAACATTACATCAATCCAACAACAACCTCTGCATGTTGAACCCTTATTGATTTGGCAAGCAAGAACATACTTTGAAGCTCATCATCACTGTCCAAAATAACACCTATTAATCCTAAGTAGCCGATAGAACAATGAAACACAATCAGTAGATAACGCGCTCCATTTTTTACACACACACTCCACGAAAAGTGAAAAAGACAGAGCTTGCTCCACATTTATTACAATAGTACTACACTCCTATGAGCACACCAACAACATGAATTTATCCATCTGCTGCAAAAATACAAAAATAAGGAAATGAATAAACACATTATAGCCAATGATATGTGAACATTTACATTGTTCACATATTCTGAATTATCTAACCAACCAAAGATGAAACAAAACAAGGAAGTGAATATTCACATCATTTTTGTATCTAAATAAACATTGTAGCTTGTGATTATATGATTGAATACAATGGTTTGATATGAACTTTAACATTTTGCATAGTGGCAATGAACATAGTAAAAATATATATACTATTCAATACTATATAGATGTGTGAATATTCACACTGATTGATAAAATAAATGACAAATTTCCATTATAGATAATGCGAATATTAACACTGATTAATAATGAGGTTAACAAAAAAATCAAAATAACTGTATATGTAACTTTTTACTAATGATCCACTACAATCAATTTGTTCAAACAACAGTATATGCATCTCTGTTAAATATCCGAAACTCAAACAACAAAAATATACATGCATTACTAGTAAAAAAAATCAGAACCTCATTCATCAAACATGCACTTCCATTGCCCATGTATTCTAGAAAATGCACATGAATAAAAAACAGAGCATGCAATCCTTCACATAAATTAACATGCATTCATAAACAAAATGATACTAACCTTGAGAAAGAAATTTTGTAATCGTTCTCCACCTCCAATCAACGACTGATCTCCAACAATTACGTAACGAACCAAAGCACACAAAAACACCAAACTACGAAAATGAACACACTGACAGACAGAAACCTGTCGTCTTCGTCTTTTCTCCCACGGTACAGAAACTCGTCGTCGTCTTCTCTCCACTGCATTGAAACCCTACCACAATGAAACCCTACCATAAACGATCGACATTGATTATAACTGAATCAGAATCATCAACGTGAATAACGCTAACAAACAAAACAGAAACGTGTATTTCTTTTTTTTGTGTATGTTATGTATTAACATAATATATAAGGGTATAATAGTCCAAAAAAATATAAAATTAGGAAAAAAAGGACTTCGTGGAATAAAAGTACAAACATATAGGACTAATTAAGTTATAAATTTCCTTTATGGACTTATTGGGTTAGAACATCCTTAAATGGGATTTATCAATAAAAAACCCTTGAATGGTATTTATTTTTTTAAAAAAAATAAACAACAAATATAATTTTAAAAATAACCATCCATTTTTTATAATAAAAATTAATTCAAACATATAGTTGTCGATATCTTATCATCTTGATTTTTTATATAAATATTCTACTTAACAAGTTCTAAAAAGTGAACGGTTCGGATTATTGAAACGGGACATGTGGTGAGCTCTACAACTCCCTCAAGTTCTCTTATATTGAGATGTAAACGTGAAAGAAGCCTAACCCTTTTGAAAAAGGGGATTTTTTTATTTTATTTTAGGGTCCTTGGTATTAAGATTTTATAGCATAACGGAGAACAATATTTTCATAATGTCTAAGGTCCCTCAACATCACCGGAGAAATTTCAATCCCAAAGAACTTCTCTCCAGAGAAATTCTAGACTTCCCAAAGAATTTCTCTGAGTTCAAACCAGATAAAATTGAAATTTTTGTGCACAAATTTCTCTAGCTTTGTTCACAGAGAATTGAAATTTCTCTAGCTCTATTTACAAAAAATTTCTCTGGCTTTGTTCACAAATTTC